GGTCCTTCCACGTCAACTTTATTTCCTCCTGTTGGGAAACCAGTTGGAGGATATGAATTCTTCAGACTCACTCCTACAGAGAAACTCCAGGCACACAGACACGTTTTGATAAATTGCAGCCAAGTTGAACCCTTCATGCAGTAAGTATATATATCATATAAGCTCACTAGCTTTTACACTTTATATTTGTTTCTTACTGACTCTTCTAACAAATTACACTTTACTATAGTGAGTTTAGGAGTTATCTCAGGCGTCAGCTACGGGGCCGTGCGCGTTCTGCTGACATTGATAAAAGAGTCTACAAAGAGTTTCCCAGTTGGTTTACACGTCGAATACGTAATGACAACAGCCCATACACAGATGAATTCAAAGCTCTTTCTCTCGGTCCGTTAGACCATGCACGAAGGTTTACCGCGTACAATGTCAACGCTTCAAGTTCTGTACGGTTGGACGTGATCAGGGATTGCTCACACAAAACTCTGGAGTTTGCGGGACATTCGGAACGAGATGTTATGCTAGCAGTAGTGATGGCGATATGCGCTTTGGAGGCGTCACTTACTATGGAAAGCTAATTGACATTATTGAGTTGAGTTACCAGCTTTTCACCGTGACACTGTTCAAGTGCTCCTGGGCAAATACGACAACTTCACGGGGACTCGCTACTGACCATTTGGGCATCACCTCAGTTAATTTCTCTAGACTTATTCATACAGGGGCATCTGAAGATGATGAGCCATATATCCTTGCTTCTGAGGCACACCAAATTTACTATGTCGAGGACGAGAAACATAAAGACTGGAATATGGTCGTTCACCTCAAGCCACGGGATCTTTATGATATGGGTGATGGTGACATTATTTACGACAGTGAACCCTTCCAACCCTCGAATTTTGAAGACTTCTTTCCTCAAGGAGATGATAATTTGCCAATTATCAGGTACACGTCTTTTCTTAAATTATTTAAATAATTAACTACTAATTACTAATTTTTTTCAAATACATTATAAATTTAACAAATTTTTTTAAAATGTGTCCTTTCAGGCCGGATGATGATGGAGAATAGCAGCATCCAAAATAAATTATTAAAAAAAATTTCCGTCCATAAATACATATGTATAAATTAAAATTTGTACAGTTTTTTTAAAAATAAAAAATTTTTAATTTGTAGCGGTTAGATAACCGCTACAAATTTATTTTACAAAATTATAATTTGTAGCGGTTATTAACCGCTACAAATACATATCTATAAATTAAAATTCGTTCAGATATTTAAAAATAAAAAAATTAAATTTGTAGCGGTTATTAACCGCTACAAATATATGTCTATAAATTAAAATTCGTTCACATATTTAAAAATAAAAAAATTTAATTTGTAGCGGTTATTAACCGCTACAAATATATATCTATAAATTAAAATTCGTTCAGCTTTTTAAAAATAAAAAAAATTTAATTTGTAGCGGTTATTAACCGCTACAAATGAACCACTACAAAATACTAGCGGTTATGTATACGCTAGAAAATGAATAACAGCTACAAAATGCAAAAAAATGTTACAAAATAACCGCTACAAATGTGTCGTTGATCTCTATAAATACCATATCTTCTCTACATTTATTTACTCCATCTCTTTTCTTTTCTTTCCTCTCCTATTCTTCTTCATAATTCTCTCTTTTTTTCTTACTATCTCATATGGTGGTTTCTTTCTCCTTACTGTATGGTAAGTGAATTTTATTTTATAATTCATTGTATCTTTTATTTGTTTTCATTTAAAATTTACTAACATATTTATTTCTCCTTTTCTTTCAGATTTTTCTTTTCCACACTTGTCATGCCCTCCTCAACTGATTCAAATACTCCTCAACCTAACACTATAGGTTCAATATTACAAAATATATCATCTTCAATTCAACTATCTTATTAAATATTCAATTAAATTATCTTATTAAATTAAATTCACTTCCTTTGACACATTCATAATTTAATTACATATTGTTTATTAAAAAATTTAAATATATAAAATGTAACATATAACTAATTATACAAATTAAACAAAAATTCTTCAACATAATTTATTTAATGGTTTTTAAAATTATTATATGAAAAACCAAAATTTTTTTTTGTGGCATGGTAAACATTTCTAGCGGTTACGAACCGCTAGAAATATTTCGTCAAATTTAAATTTTGCGCCAAAATTTCTAGCGGTTCAAACCGCTAGAAAATTTTTTTGCCGCCATTCCAGAAATTTAATTGGCGGGAAAATTGAATTTTCCAAACATTTCTAGCGGTTCTATAACCGCTAGAAATTTGCACGCACTACTGAAATTATTTATTTCCCGGCAAAATTGATTTGGTTTAGCATGTTTTTAGCGGTTATAAAACCACTAGAAATTTTATTCCGGGCACATTTTCTAGCGGTTTCATAACCGCTAGAAATGTTTTTCCTTTACATATTTTCTAGCGGTTATAAACCGCTAGAAATTTTCTAGCGTGTTGACCATAATATTGTGTAGCGGTTGCTATAACCGCTAGAAATTTTTTCTTGCGCCTGTTTTTCTAGCGGTTTTGTTAACTGCTACAAATGTTATTTGTTGCGGTTAAAACCGCTAGAAATGTATCACTCTAACCGCTACAATTGACATATTTTTTTGTAGTGCCTTCAACAGCCCTCCCACCTCCGTTGTCGAGCAAGAGTCACAATTAATCACTAGATTTCAGTCACCGGTAGCGGAGCCCTTGCTTTCTATCTTTAGTTTTACCTCTTAAATTAACAAGGGCAAAATAGTAGTTATGTGGTATCACCAAAAAAAAAAATAGTAGTTATGTGACTATAATCTCCCACAGTAAGGTCCCAAAGGCAAGATTTAAAGGCACTCTCTAGTAATAATTTCTCTTGGTTCGGACCCGAGAGTAATTTTTCCTATACTATTTTAATTCTTAATATAAGAACTAATTAATTAATTTAAATGTATTTAAAAATATAAATAAATTACTTAATTTTATCAAATATAGTTTTATCTCCTTAAAATATTCATGTGTAATATTATACTATATATCAGTTTAGAACCAAAACTTACCAAAAATCAAGTTCCCTAATTAAGTCATGTGTTTAGAACCAAAATTAACTTGTACGTTTTGGACCAAATCTTACCAAAAATCAAACTCATAATTCACTCGCTAGAAGGACTCACGTTGGCCAAAGAGAAAAGTAAACAACTCTCTTTGAAAATTTGTGCCTTTTCCTTTTCTTCCCTTCCAAGGGATCCGTCATTATTTTTTGAAAATTATAATTGGAATTGAATTTGTAGTTTCCCACTGACAAGGAAACTTTCACGCTTCTAAATTGTAAGGCATTTGGTAGGAATCCATCATTTTTGGCTATTAAGGAGACTTGTATTATCCGTCTCCCCCCCCCCCCAACAACAAAATATTGATCACTTTTTTTAAAAAAAAAAAAAGAAAATTCGAATTCGCATAGCATACTCTTTTTTATCAAACAGAAAAACCGTGCTTTCCACTGGATGATAGTTTTCTTTTTCCTAAATGTATTCATTATATTGTTTCAATCTAATATATAAGTGATGTATGTGAAGAAAAAAAGTCGAAGACACATTCTTCTGGAAACTGAATTTCTAGAACTTTACACTCAACTTTTTTGAAGATGTGAAAATAATAATTTTCATAGCATCAAGAGTTTTTTCTGCCCTTGATTATGTCATTACATAAGAGCAGACAATGATAGAATCAATAAAACAAGTAAATCAAACTGATTGTTGGGTATGTAGTGGGTAGGGTACATTAATGAATCAAGTTTCCTTGTTGTTTCTAGAGCTTGATCTGAAATACCAGTCGCTTAAAAAATTAGATAATGTAGTTATATAGTTATTTATATCAAGTATGACATAGCCTCCCTAGAATACTCATTTAATATTAGATTATATATCAATTTATATATTAATTACTATTTTCAGTCTATAATATAAGATCGGGTTGAATAATTTAGAGAGATGAATGAAGTTAAATAAACCACTTTAAAATATTATATTTATTGTTTTTCTCCAAACTAAGTTACTCAACTTATAAATTGTTATATAATATAATGATGTACATAAGTATTTTAGAGAAATTATCAAGCACATGTTATAACTAAGTAATTTTTTTAGCTTTCTTAATTTTCTCGAATTAGTTCACAAATATACATATAACAATTTTTTTAACCTAGAAGAAATCCAGTGTATCATTGGTGGCATGTGAATGTATTCTTTTTGATGATTTCATTTTCTCAGTGGCCCAGTCACCTTGTGTTGAGTTATAACTGACTAGGTGACCTGTGAACTAAGTCAAGCAAAATTGTAGCAACTCAGAACAATCTGATTTCTTAAGACACAGCTCAGCTTCACTGAGCTATTCTCTGGGCTTGTGGGATGATCAGTTATAAACATATAAATAGATAATGGGAAAATGTGTTGCTTTTGTACTTATTTTTTAACTGAAGAATCTGAAAGTAAACAATTAAATATCATGTGATGTTGCATAAGTAAAATTCTGAACTCTAAAAGATTTTGAACATACATTTTAGTGTGATCATTTTATCAAAGTGAAAATCTTGAAATCTTCTTAATATTACGTACTCAAATGTTCTAAAAATTTAGTTGTAATAATGTGAGCGTGCGCTGTTAGATCGAAGCCACGAAATGATGTCATCTAGTCACCTTACCAAAGTCTATATTGGATTTTTATCAAATTTAGATCCTCTCAGTCATTAAGCGAATGCATTCAAGAGCATTCAAAGAGAGACGAAGTGATAAAAAGAGGATGCATTTAAGGGGAAATGCAAATTACACAGTCATATTGTCATGTGTTATTTTGTCTCTAACTGGGTCACTATAGAAGATCTAATTTAGGGTTTTTAACCTGGAAAAGTATCTAAAACTCTAGAATAAACCTCAGAATACTGTATTCAAGACAAAGAAACAAATAAAATAATGAAAATAATGTCAAAACCTGTAATCTGTTCATACAGTACAATAATATGTCAAAGTCTCCCCCTTTAACCCAAAGAAAAGTTGGGTATTGGAGCATCAAAATGCCCCCAACCATCATACTAATTGAGTATAACTACGTACAGTCATAATAAATTTTGGATGGATCATCCATAGCTAATTGAACCATATGTTGGGGCTCATACCAGTTTGCATTAGCAAATATATTCTCTTCCATTATACCAGTATCCCAAAAGCTAGGGTAAGATACTATTGATGGTGAAGCTTGAGCTAACTGATCCAGAAACAAGTGATTTCTTTCATATTCAACCTCTTCAATGCTCTTCCTAATCTGCTTCCTTTCATCATTTTGCTGAATGATCATTGAGTTTTTGAAAGTGAAGCATGAGTTGCCATTGACGTCGGGTCTTAAGTTTCCTGATTCAGGAGTTGAAGGAGCTAGGCTGGGTTTGATTGCTGCTTGCGTGTACTTCTTCTGAGACGGGGTTCGTTTGAATATTTTGCACAGTGTCCAAACTTCCTGCAAAATCCAGTTTTACACAAATAATTACAGATAGGTTAGTTGGTAATGCTAATTAACAAACAAGTCATGCAAGACAATTTGTGTGTCCTATTCTGCATTTATTTGTGTGTTTTATGTTGGTCTGCACAAATCTTTTGGAGAAAAAAGGGTTTCAAGGCAGGAACTTGCGTTGCATATGAAATTTTGTCGTGCAAGCAGGAAATGAGTATGGTGTCTGATACAGAATAAATACTAATGAAGATGTTAGATGATCCCACAAATGTCAAACAAGGATGACTTGAGATATATTCCTTCTAGTCTTTTTTATATGCCACCTAAGGGAGAAATTTTGTCTTTTTCACACCTTTGCTATATCGCTCTCACTCAATGTTGGTTGTGTGTGTGAACGAGCAGGCGTACAAGCATGAGATTGAGTACTTCACAAGACTAAAAGCCAATTAGAATAGCTTATAAATAACTTTTTAATTAGAATACGAAACAAAACATAAGAGTTTTGTCTCGGCCTATATGAACCGTGTTTATAAATATTTTGAAACGCTATTCTAAACAGGCCCTAAATTGGAGAGAGGTGCTTGGAGGGCTGAGAGAGAGGTTTATGACTAATTGCACCGCATTGGTAATGCGAATTTTACATTGATATATATATATATATATACATATTAATTTTATAATCTAATACATCATTAATATTAACACTTGTCTCTTAAAAAAATGTCATGTTTAATAATTATATGAAGGTTAACGGGGACATGTAACCGTTTTTTTTTTGTACGGGTGTTGAATTTGATGTCACAGTTTTGGGGGGAAATTTCTAACGCAATTTAAGGGAAACTATCTTCACAACTACTAGATGACTTGGATGTACACAGTCAACGATGGGGACCAGAAAGAGAAATATCAAACACAATTAATTTAACAATGAAAATGACCATAATGAAGATCCCATTGCAAGACAGATATTTTGATGGAAAAGATAATAACAAAAAGGTTTTAGTCCCAAAAATTTGAAACGAGTGATTTTGATTTTTGAGAACTTGTTTAACCAAAAACACTGTTTAAGGACTAAATATGACACTAATATAAAATCAAAATGAGATTTTAGGGACCAAGGTCAAAATGAAGTCAGACTTTAAAGACTAAAAGATAGTATTACCTTCAATCCTCATTATAAGAACTAGTTTGATATTTAATTTGGTTCTAAGTATGAGATCTTAATTTACTTCGTTTCTCATCTTTATCTATTTTTTTCAAAGCAGTCCTTGTAATAGTTGTACATGTTAAATTTATATCAGATTATAGTTCTAGCAAATATACATGATTAGCAAGAATATTTTTAAAAAATAAGACTTATTTATTACAAATAACTAACTTAACAAACTTCTTTAATCTACTCAATTAGTCAACTAGCTCTTATATTAAAGATCGGAAGTAATATTAACTAAAATAAAAAAAATTTCTAAATTCATAGGCTTTATTATTGCTACTCAAAAGTCAAAAGTTTCTCCAAGAAGGTTTTCTCTGTGGTCAATCAGTGGAATTAAATCAATATTAATTTGTGGTAATTATATTGAGTTTGGGACCATTATATGTATAGAATAATTCAAAGGGTCAATACAATTTTTTGTCCCTTAAGTCTGCCGTAATTTTGGTTTTGATCCTTCAAATTTTAAACTATAGGTTTTGGTCCTTCAAGGGGCAAAATAGTTCAAGTTTTCATTGAATTGCAAGGACCAATATTTGAAATGAAAAGAAACTAAAATGACCAAAACCTATTGTTTGAAACTTGGGGGACCACAAGTAAAATGAAGGTAAATTTGAGAGATCAAAGATTATATTAAGGTGTTTTTGAGGGGGAAAATTGACTTATAAGTGTGATAAGTTAGTTTGCAAATTTGAGAGTTGTTTATCATAGTTTTGGGTCAATATGACTTATGGGTTAAAAACTGCTTTTTTAAGCAAAATTAGAAAAGCAACTAAAACTTACTTATGACTCATGCAAAAACAGCTTTTTGGAATTAAAAGATATTTTTGTCCTTATATTTATGTTGTTCTTATGCTTCTCTCAATATGTTCTTTGTGCTTTCCAATCAGTTTTTTAGTTATTTATTTTTAATATTCTCTTAAGTGAAAATAATTTTTAATAGTTTTTATAATATTTTTAATTTTTAATGTTATTTTTATTTTTATATTTACATAAATTATGCAAAGTATATCATCCAATTAATTATGTAATCTTATTTGGTTAAAAAATTCTCAGATTACTGTGATTTCTAATTTAAATATATTTTATTCATTAAATATAATTTTTTCCTATTATAATAATTAAAAATTATTATATTTTGTAAATTTATATTTTTAATTATTTTTTATTATTTAATAAAAGTCATTGCCATTTTGGTCATTTTACAAAATAAACTTACTTATTTAATTATAATCCAAATAGTATTTTTAATTTTACAAACTAACTTTTATAAAAGTCAATCCAAACATAAATCACATTACCTAATCTTACTTTTTTAAAAGTCATATTGAAAATAAGTTACTTTTTCTGCTACTAATTCAAACAGACCCATTAACCCTAATTCAATTGATCATTTATCTTCTGATGCTTCTTGATAAGTCCAACTTAGGAGATCTTATGCCATCGTCTACACAAAATATATATATATATATATTTCATGTAACACTAGGCGGTCATAAGATGCACAATGAATGAAAAAGAGTTTAAAATAATAAGGTTAGGTGATGATAAATATACATGAAAATGATGGAGAAGAAAATTTGCGCTGTCATTCTCCTAATCAGAAAATCTAAACAAACGACATTAATTATGAGTATTTAGAAACTTCAAAATTTATGAGTTACACGCACATATTAAAACGAAAAAAAGCCCCCTCTGAAGATTTGGAATTTTACATTTTTAAAAGAAATCAAGTTGCATCCGATTAATAAGTTCAATACTAAGTTTTAATAGGAAAATTGCTACAAAATCATTAAAATTGTTATATTTAATGATAAAATTCGTAAAAACCTCAAATAAATTGTGCAAAATCACTAAGAAGTAATGATAAATCTCCAAAATAACCCTAAAAAATCACGAAATAATTAACTACTAGAGCCTGGAAGACTTACAGCATCATGAAGAAGATGATGATCGACAGTAGAGTTGTTGGGAGGAAGACGAAACTCATGCATCATCCACTCAGTTTTTGAGGCTTTTCCAGCACTTCCTTGATAATACACCAATGACTTCTTCAGCCCAATTACGACGCCGTTTTGACCTCCGCCTCCTCCATAAATAGTTTTATCAATTCCTGTAGCTTTCCAGAAACCAGATCCACTCACTGTCACTCTGTTAGGCCTCTTGCTGTTCCTGTACTTTCTCCCTCTCCTGCAGAAAAAGTATCCTTCTCTTTCCCCTTCCACCCCATGGCTATTCTCTGTTCCACAATTGAATATGTTTTGCACCTTTAGTACTTGTAAAATGAATATATATATTTATATATCAGAAGCATAAAGAGACTGATTATATATATCAGCAGAATATCTATTCTGGTGTATGTTTCGGAGCGGTACGTAGAATGTAATAATCAAGGAAGAAGGAAGAGAATTAAATGAAGGAGAAGGAATTAGGAAATGAAATATATTCATACTTGGAAGATCCCAAGGATGGTATCTGTAGATGTCAATCTGTTTGATGAGTTCCATTGGAAGAGGCTTCTTCTTCACTTTTCTCTGCAGATAAAACCCTACAAGTTCTTCATCTGTGGGGTGGAATCTAAACCCAGGAGCCATCACTTCTTCTTCTTCCTCTTCTTCTCTCTTATCTGATGACCTAATTTCAAGCTTACCCACCTCCATGTCTGTGTTCCTCATCTCTGTTAATTAATCCCTAGCTCTCAAGAACCGTGTGCGCCTATATATATACATATAAATATATATATCTTCTTAGAAGTTTACGTGTTTGTGATTTTCTGGTATCGTGGTGTGTACTTTTAATTGGATATTGGCAGAGCATGACTTAGATATGTCAAGGTCAATCATCTCGTGTGTGACATTTCTCAGAAAGGAAGGCATTGCAAGGGCTAATAAATTTGTGATTGATAGATACGTGCGTATATTGGCATTTTTGAATTTTCCATAGGAATGTCTTATATTCTTAAAAATAAAATATCTTAAAGTAAATTGTATAACCATCTCTTGAATAAACTTGTCTTATTTTTTTCTTAAATCAAAACAAATATTATATATATGGATCTTTCAAGTCTCATCATTTGGATGTATTAAAAATCCATTTTCAAAGCTTACACAATCCCTACTTAATTAAAGATCAGAAGTAAATTACGCATGTCTCTTGAATTATGTTAAAATTGTCAAAACTATTTTTTTATTACATCGCTAAGGTTTGAAATTTTTGTTATTACGTATGTCATTAAAATTCTATGAAAGCGTGTGGCACATTACTATATGCCGTACTTGATCTGTCCTTGAAAGTACAACTTTTCCTCCAAATTACCACCCACGTGCCCCTGAAAATAATGGAACCGTGTGGAAGTTTCCCAACTTCTCTTAAAATGACTCATGGAACTTGGGGAGCAAACTGCCCATAATGAGTTCTGTTAAAAAAAAAAAATTGTGCATCCGTAAGATCATCATCAGCCCTAAAGCCAACATTTTTGATGAAATACAGATATCTTAACAACCAATGACAAAAGAAAATTATCAACAAACACATGCTAATCCTTAGATATTTTCAAACTAGCGATAAGATTCTCCCCATTAATTTCTGCTACGCCCAAGCTTCACATCATTATTTTAAGCTCAGAAAGTGTTTGAGTAAAACCTAAACCATGATTTTAAAACTAATTTTACGGTATACGAAATGAGGGATGTTTGGATGGAATCAAAATCATGATTTTAAAAGTAATTTTATAATATACAAATTAAATATGTAGAGAAGTTTATCTCAAGTTACGGAGCTTTTCATACTTGCGTAATACCACCTAAATATATGAGAGGAATTACCTCGATTTATGTAAAAACACTTTTAAAAAGTGCTTATGGGGGCTGCCAAATGCCCTCTCAACCAACTTAGCAAAACGAGAATTTTCAGGTAAGACTATGACTATATTATTTATAGTATCAATCTAAAGTATTACTTTCTATCTTTAATAAAAAAGTTAGTTGACTACTTTAAATAGATTAAAAAAATTAGTTAAGTTAGTTATTTATAATAAATAAGTTTTATCGTTTTTAAAATATTCTTGCTAATCAAGTATATTAACTAAAACTATAATCATCACAAGGACTGCCTTGGAAAAAAAAAAGATAAATATGATAGACAAAATAAATTTATGTTTTATATTTAGAACTAAAATAAAAATCAAATGAGCTCTTATATTAGGAATTGGAAGAAGTAATAAATAACTGCAACAGCAATAACACAAAGTTTTCATAAATAAGAAAAACTTGAGGCTTCTACTTCTTCCTTTGATTCGACCCTTCCGCATCTTTCGCCATAGGAGTAGATCCCTTGAACAGCCCTCTCGTCTCCATTGTAGAGCAAGAGTCACAATTAATCACTGGATTTCAGTCACCGGTCGTGGAGCCCTTGCTTTCCATCTTTAGTTTTACCTTGTAAATTAATAAGGACAAAATAATCTAATTGTTGAGTTGATTTTGATCTTAAATATAAGACATATTTTTTATATTTATTAATTTTTTTAAATTATCCATATGGATAATCCCTCAATCATAATCAAATGGAAGAGGTAAGGAGGATATTAAAGAAGATGATTATGATGTTTTAAGAAAAAATGTCATATTTTTTATAATTAACTAACTTATCTAACTTCTTTAATCTAATCAAATTAATTAAATAGGTATTATATTAAGGACCGATAAGTAGTTATGTAATTATAATCTCTCACACTAAGGTCCCAAAGGCAAGATTTAAAGGCACTCTCTAGTAATAATTTCTCTTGTTTCGGATCTAAGAGTAACTTTCCCTATGCTCTTTTAATTCTTAATATAAGAACTACTTAATTAATTTAAATATATTTAAAAATCTAAATAAATTATTTAATTCTATCAAATATAGTTTGATCTCATTAAGATATTCATGTGTAATATTATATTATATATTAGTTTAGAACCAAAACTTAGTAAAAATCAAGTTCCCTAATTAAGTCATATGTTTAGAGCCAAAATTAGCTTTCTAATTAACTTATACGTTTAGGACCAAATCTTACCAAAAATCAGACTCATAATTCACTCGCTAGAAGGATTCACGTTGGCCAAAAAGAAAAGTAAACCTCTCTTTGAAAATTTGTGCCTTTTCCTTTTCTTCCCTTCCAAGGAATCCGTCATTATTTTTTAAAAATTATAATTGGAATTGAATTTGCAGTTTCCCACTAGCAAGGAAACTTTCACACTTCTAAATTGTAAGGTATTTGGTAGGAATCCATCATTTTTGTCCATTAAGGAGACTTATATTATCCCCCGCCCCAAGAATATTGACTACTTTTTCTTCTTCTTTTTTTTTTAAAAAGAAAATTTGAATTCGCATAGCATAGTCTTTTTTATCAAATAGAAAAAGCCGTTCTTAGCACTGGATTATAATTTTCTTTTTCCCAAATGTATTCATTATATTGTTTCAATCTAATATTTAAGTGATGTATGTGGGGACCAAAAAAGACGAAGACGTATTCTTCTGGAAACTGAATTTCTAGAATTTTATACTCAACTTTTTTAAAGATGTGAAAAGAATAATTTTCATAGCATTGAGAGTTTTTTCTGCCCTTGTTTATGTCATTACAAAAGAGCAAACAATGATAGAATCAATAAAACAAGTAAATCAAACTGATTGTTGGGTATGTAGTGGGTAGGGTACATTAATGAACCAAGTTTCCTTGAATCCTTGTTGCTTCTAGAGTTTAATCTGAAATACCAGTCGCTTAAAAAATTAGATAATGTTATATCAAATCTGACAAAGCCTCCCTAGAATACCCATTTAGATTATATATTAATTTATAAATTAATTATTACTTTTAATCCAGACCTAATTGATTAATTTAGAAATACTAAGGAAGTTAAATAACCACTTTGAAATATTATATGTATTGTTTTTCTCTAAACTAATTTACTTAACTTATAAATTGTTATATGATACAATAATGTACTACTCCGTCTTTTATTATAAGATTCTTTTAACTAAATTGCGCGGTTTTAAAAAACAGTTAAAATTAGTTAAAAACAATTAATATGTAACAAATATAATTTTTTTCCAAATATACCCTTATATATAAATAGGTAGATGTGAAAGAGTAATAGTGAGATAAATGAAGAAAGAGAATGTATTAAATACATTAAACTAGGAGTAAAATGGGTAATAATGCGCTGAATGTTCAGACAAGCTCAAAAGGAATCTTATAAAAAGGGACAAACCTATTCAAAAAATTAGATCTTATAATAAGGAATGAAATGAGTACGTAAGTATTTTAGAGAAATTATCAAATACATATTATAACTAAGTAATTTTTTTAACTTCTTTAATTTTTTTAAATTAGTCAACTATAACAACAGAAAAATTGTCTATTTTCCATCAATAATGTATTGATAATGGGAATAACAGAAAAATAAAAAAATAAATAAATGAGACAACTCGCGTCAATTCTTCTTCTTCTTCTTCTTTTCCTTTTTTTTTTTTTTTGTTTGATAACAATGGAAAGAGAAAAACAAACTACTAGTCTCCAGTATCTGCAGCCATGACTTCCCTTGGAGTGTGAGCATTATAGATCGTCAGGCCCAAGGCGTTACCCAGCGCACTTTTAGCTAAGCCGTCAGCAAATCAAGTTCCTTAACTCGCGTCAATTTTCTACCCAAAAAAAAACAAAAAACTCGCGTCAATTCTTTAATACTGCATTTTAAAATCACGATGGAATTCTAGTCAAAAAAAGAAAATCCCGATGGGAAAAAAAAAAAAACAGCTTACCCACCCAAAGCTCGCAACGCATCAGTTGACCAATTTTTTTTTTTGGCCCAACAGTTGACCCAAAATATATTGTTTTTAGCAAGACAAGACTCTGCTCTAATGACCACATAAACCTCCACTCAGATGCGTCTCTATTTCGCGCAGGCTAGATTCACGGAACGTAATAAATATCTGAACGCTTGGGCCCCGTATCATACGAAACAATGAAAATGAAAGATAGAGACTAAAACTGTAATTAAAAAAAATTATTAAAAAAGTTTTTAGTACGAGTAATTACTTATTATATAGATTAGATAAACCTGAAGTAGGATTAGGAAATATCACTTCTCCCCCATAATATTCCCCAATCCCATATATGAATTTATCTAATCTATATCAATCTTTCGTCTTAAACACTACTACTTCCGGTTCTAATTATAAGAGCCAGTTGACTAATTTGAGGAAATTACGGAGGTAAGTTGAGTTAGTTATTTGTCCTAAATATGTGTTGTCTTTCCTAAAATATCCTTGCTAATCAAATGTATAGATTAGAACTATCATTGTTAGAAGGGCTACTTTGAAAAAAAAATGTATAAATATAAGAAACAAAGTGGATTTGGATCTTATATTTAGGACCAAAATAAAAAAAAAAAAGGATCTTATATTAAGGACCGGAGGTAGTATTTTCTTAATCTCAATTATAATCCCTATCTCTTATTTTCAATATCTTAGCAAACGGTAGCTTGGTACCTTATTGAGACCTCTGCTTCTTCCCCTCTCTTTCCTCATTTTTCGTTTTTGTTCCTGATTGCTTGTGCGCTGCGTAATGTAACATTTTTTCCTCCCTGGATTTTGTGCGACTGCTACAAATCTTTGTGATTTCGTTGGGGAAATCTTTTTTCATTCACATGGTAATACGGAGAACAGA